ACACACACACATATATATATATATACATATATATATATATATATATATACACATACATACATATACACACACACACACACATATATATATATATATATATTGTGATCCTTGTTTGCAGGTAGCACGGTCCTCTAGGGCAAAAACATGCACAGTCCTTGTAAATGCATATACTCCAGGCACTTTATTTTTAAATCCACACAGGATACAGCAGTAAATGAAAAACATAAATGTACCACAAAACCTTATAAACAAAAACCTAGCTCGGTCTGAGCACTAACTCACTTTGAACATCCCTCTCTATCAGGGTTAAACTAACAAAACATATGGCACCAACATTATTAGTTAGCAACACTCTGCTGGCTAGCCTGTTGCGTTCCTTTCCGCACTCCTAGTGCTCCAAGCCAGCCTTGCCCTGACTGCTTTCCTTTCTGCACTCCCAGTGCTCCAAGCCAGCCTTGCCCTGACTGCTTTCCTTTCCGCACTCCCAGTGCCTCCAAGCCAGCCTTGACTGCTTCCTTTCTGCACTCCCAGTGCCTAGTCTCCTTGACTTTGTCTGGAGAGAAAAGCCTCTCTCCTACCTGCTTCCTGGGAGGAAGCCAGCAATCCCTCTCCTTTTCCTGCCTAGCAGGGAGGGGTTTATTCCCACTGCAGAAGCTCATTAACTGCAGCTGAGCAGTGGGTTGGAGACGGTCCAAAAAACCCTGGCCTGGATCTATGTCTCCCCAGAACACCACTAAACTGTGGAGTGGAGCATTGGCCCACCCTTCTCTCCAAATGCTCCACCCCAGGGGCCCATAACTAAACAGTGTTTTGTGTTGTGCAACACACAAACTACACGTACTTCCCCTGGGGTTAAAAGGCCTATCTGCCTTCACTTTATCACAATATATATATTTGTGCTCAGAATTTAATACGTAATGGATTGTATCTGTAAGGACAAAGTTGGTTGTGGTGTACAGAAACCAACGTACGAGTGGGCCTGTAAATAAAAGAGGGCCAAGGAAAAATGTAATTAAAACAGGGTGTAGGTGGGTGGGGACAATCAGCTGAAAAGCAGAGGTGAGTAGGGGCTGGGAGTTTAAGTAGGGGACTTACTCCTCCCACAAATTCAGGCCTAATGGCCTTTCTACTTGTGCTCGGAATTTAATATGTAATGGATAGTATCTGTAAGGACAAAGTTGGTTGTGGTGTGCCGAAACCAACGTATGAGTTGGCCTGTAAATAAAAGAGGGCAAAAGAGAAGTTCGAGAAAATACACACTTTATTGCCTTTTTACATGTCCAAGTTCCTGAAAGCTTGACAAAGCTCTTTTTCAGGTCGTGGAATATAAGTATGGTATATGGAGGATTTCCATTGCCCCAGTCTCTTGATGATGTGGACCGGTGTATTAGTGCTGGAGGCTGAAGAGGCGGCTCCTATGTGAAAGGAATGCCCGGAGAATGAAGTTGGATTGAAACCCAGTTTAGATAATACTGTTATGACGTGAGACGTGAATTTAGCAGTGGTAAGCGGGTGCCCTTGTATTGATAAGAGCGGAGAGTCTGGTAAGTGCACGTGAAGGGTTGACCGTACGTGGTCTAGCGCCTTGACCGGACACCAGGCATTATCAGTAGGGAAGAGAGGAACTACAGTGGGGTGTAGTGAATGTTTGGTTTTAGTTGACGAGATCGAAAGTAGGTAGTGATCCTCAACCTTTGTGAGGTGCAATGTTTTTAGGCTGTGCGTGATATCCCCTTGACGAACAATGGTGAACTCTCTAGGTCTGAGAAAACCGTAGAAAGCAAGATAGATAGCCGCTTTGATCACCAGGTTTGTGTCGGGATTCATCAAGGAGATTGATAAGTGATCTGAAGATAGGCCCATCTATAGGTAGTCTTGTGATAGTGAGAGGAGCTGAAACCTTTAACATACCTCTCAATACCTTTTTTAATGGGAAATGATGACAGGAAGGGGGTGTTGTTAGGAAAATGTGTGAGGCTATGGTGCTGCACCCCGGTGAGGTAAAGTTTTATGGTGTTGTGGGAAAGTTTAAGGCATCCGTCTCAGCGGGCCAGTGACCCCTAAACCAGTGGTTCCCAAAGATGGCTGTAAAACCAGTGTTGGCTGCAGCATCTGTGTGAATGATGGGTGAGGAAGTGGAGAGAGGGGGGATAAACATGGAGATACCGTTCCACTCTGCCAAAAAGCTCTCCCACATAGCTAAGTCAACCTTGGTGTGGGGGTCCAATGAAACTGGGCAAGAGTCCGGTACCCCGTGGAGTAGGCAAAGAAGCCTGGATATAAAAGACCTTCCCTGCGGGATGATGCGCATGGCGAAGTTCAGGGATCCCAGAAGGGGAGTTCCTTCCTGGTGCAAACATCATTCCGCAGGAACATGTCTATCTCCCCTCTCAAGCGGGTCAGTTTGTCATGGGGAAGGCTAGCTCTGAGGGTAGTGGAATCTAGCTCTATCCCCAAAAAGGTTAATTTAGTTGTGGAACCAATTGTTTTAGATGGGGACAAAGGTACTCCAAGTGTGGAAAAAAGTGCTGTAGTGCGGCTGATAGCGGTAGGTGTTTGTGCCCCTGGCTCTATCAGTAGGAAGTCGTCTAGGTAGTGAATAACGGAGTGACACCTGAGGACGTTCAGAAGCAGCCAGCATAGTGTCTCGGTGAAGATATCGAAAAGTTTGGGGCTGCTTCAAGAACCGAAAGTGAGTCGTGTGGAGAAGTACTTTCCTTGCCATTTAACACTGTGCAAGTGCCAGAGTGAGGGGTGCATGGGTAGTAACTTAAACACATTTGTAATGTCTGTTTTGCTGAGCCAGGGGCGATTACCAGAAGAGATGATGTCCTGTATAGCGTCGTCAATAGTTACGTACTGGATGAGAATTTGTCTGCTGGAATGAGTGTGTTTACGCTGGGAACAAAAGAGGTGCAGATAAATCGATAATTAGATGTTTCTTATTTGAATATTTGTGAACTGCGATGCCGATTGGGTTAGTGCACCAGGAGGAAAAAGGTGAGGAGGTGAAAGGCCCGAACATGAATCCATTGGTAATTTCAGAGGAAAGGAGAGTGTCTGTGGAGACTGGGTCTAGACGTGCTGACAAGAGATTAGGACATTCAAGTGTACCTGAGGGGATGGCTACTATACCCGTGAGAAACCCCTGTGTGAACCTTGTGGTCAGATATTCAACCAGGTGCCTGCTAGGGTGTGACCTTAAGTAAAAAAACAGGTTGTCGACATTAATGTCGGTTAGTCATTTGTTAGTTGACAACCTGGCCGGACACATGGTCTTGGTATGTGCCCTGAAGCAAATGGAGCAGATGTGCAATAAACTACATGCGCTGAAACTGCAGGAGCCTGCGTTGAAATTATTGCACACCTGCGCCTTGCCTAAAAAGGAGATGGGCCTACCCAGCTTGTCACGTAGACCACCCGTTGGTTTGTTGTGAGGGGAGAAAGAGGTATGAGGGATGGGAGTGGAGGTGGTGGGATCTGCTTCAGAGGGACATAAGTCCGCCATGTGGGATGTGGAATTATATATGGAACAAGACGGGGGCCTGAGACCAGCGAAGTGGCGACAGAATAGTTCTGTATCCATCTGACACAAGTTAATTCTAACATTGAACTGTTTCAGATGGGTCGCCGCCTTCACTGATACTGACTTATGATAGTCGTAGAAAGAAGAGCCCCCGTTCTTGATGCCTAGATCCACCACCTTGTGAAGGTAGAGGTCTAACTCCTCTCTTCTGTGGGGATACACCATGCAGATGACATCACGGTATATCCCGAAAGCTATCACGAACTGTGGAATTGAAAGTTTTTTATTAAGCCTGTGATCTCTTGTCTTAAGCACTACTGATATATCCCCGTAATTGTAAGCCTTGTTCTCCAGTATGTCCTGTGAAGCAATAAGCAGAGACACCAGACACATGTCCTTCCCGTCTAGGATTTCTTTCCTGATAGAGTCTGGGATGGAGTGAGCTGGTGACTCAAAAGGAGCTATAGCTGTGACTGGTGTTGGCGAGGGGAGTATGGGGGGGCATGCTGGTACAGCGGGAACAGCCGGGGTGGGACTGGGGAGGCGATGGCGCTCTCCACCTTAGATAGCCTGTTATTAAGGGTCTGTAGGTTGGGTAAGATTGCTGCCAGGGTATCCTGGGTGGCCGTGCCAGTGCTTGGTGGCTGTCCTTGAGAGCTAGTGCTTGGCCTAGGCTCAGGGGCTGGAAAGGGGATTCCCCTGAGCCTAAGCTCGGCCGTAATTTTAGGAATAGTCCATGCTCTCAAGGACGTGGGAGTTGAAGGGGTGAGAGATTCGCCTGGAGACTCTGGTCTGGTTGGCGTAAACGGTATCTCTTCTGACAGTTCTTCGATGGGGATTGGTTCTTGGGACATTCTAAAAGAAATGATTTTGTGAATGAGATATTAGAAGGGGAGTAAGGAAATGTGGGGGGGATATGAGGGATGGTATCTATTGGAAGAACTGGACTGTAATGCTAGTGCCGAAGTGAAAAACTTATCTGTGGGATTTTTGGTAGGTGAGGCCCTGCTAATGCCAAGTGGCGGTGAGAGGCTCTACCTATGATTTGGCTTAGGGAATTGAGGCCACAGACGTGGTGGCAGGGTGTTGGCCTCTCGGTGACCGTAAAGAGAATTCAAAACGTGTGGCCGTGACAGGTGAGGCCCTGACTAAAGCCCTGTAGTAGGGCGGGAGAGGCGTATAACTATGATCCCTCCTAATGGATGAGACCTTTCGGGACCTAGTCCGCACCACGCTAACAGAATACTTTCAAACGAACGGGTCAGGGGAGACCACTGACGATACGGTTTGGTGTGCCCATAAAGCAGTAGTACGAGGGCTCTTTATTAAGCGGGCCTCCTTTCTCAAGAAATGCAACCTGAATACACTTACAAAAGCGTATGCGCAACTAGCCGAACTTAACGCAAAAAACAAGGCCCACCCCACACAAGAATATTTACTGAAAATAAATGAGACACATACGACGATCGCCAAGATGCAGGCGGAAAAATCAAATAGCCTCCTACATAAGTTGAGAGCCACTACGTACCACACAACCCTACAGATACCCTACATTCTGGATGACGACGGCAACAAACATATAGACCCACAAGCGATCAGCAATGCGTTTGCGGCCTTTTACTCCAAATTATATAACCTCCATACAGACACAACAATACTGCACCCTCAAAGCTTAGACGCAACACGCTATCTAGCAGACATCACTCTGCCCAAGGTGTCTGAGAACCACCTTCAAGCTCTACTACAACCTATCACAGTCCCAGAAATCGCCCACACTATTAAACAGCTCCCCCTGGGGAAGTCCCCAGGTGCAGATGGGCTTTCTAACGCATACTACAAAGAGTTTAGTGACCTACTAGCGCCGCAGCTCCTGAAACTACACCGGAACACAGCTACCTCAGGTAGACTGCCTCCGGAGGTGCTGCTGGCTACAATAGTGACGATTCCCAAGCCTGATAAACCTACAGACAAGTGCAAAAATTATAGACCTATATCCTTACTAAACACCAACGCGAAAATTTTTAATAAACATTTATTAAAATCCTTGCAAACAGAATGAACTCCATCTTGCCACACCTGATCCATGACGACCAGACTGGTTTTGTGAGGGGCAGACAGGGACTGGACAACACCCGGAAACTGGCCCTTGTGCAACGGGAGATGGGGAGGCCGGGCCGGGGAGGTCTTCTCCTAGCGCTGGACGCGGAGAAAGCCTTTGACCGCCTCGGCTGGGTCTTCCTAGAGCAGGTACTAGCCAAGTTTGGGTTTCCCCAACAGACAATACGACAGATTTTTGCGCTCTACTCCTCACCCTCAGCGCAGGTGAACCAAGCGGGCTTCTTGTCCCCCACCTTTAACATAACCAATGGGACAAGGCAGGGATGCCCCCTGTCCCCCCTGCTATACGTCCTCGCACTAGAACCCCTCCTGCATCGTATAAGACAGAATGACATAATCCAGGGAATACACCTGGGCGACAAGCATATTAAGATCAGCGCGTTTGCTGACGATGTATTACTGTACATAGAGAACCCTCTAGTCTCCCTACCCACATTACTTCAACTGCTCAAAGACTACGGACATGTATCATACTACTCAGTAAACGCAGCCAAGACGCAAGCTCTACCTATTGGTATCACAGCCCAGGTACTCAGGACCCTTACCCACACCTACGACTTTCATTAGAGGGTGGAATCCCTAAAATACTTAGGGCTGACGATTACCAAAAACCCAGCGAACCTTATGGAGGCAAATTATGTCACAGTATGGAATAAATGTAATCAGCTATTGAAACGTTGGTCGCCACTGTACCTATCCTTGTTTGATCGCATAGCGACACTGAAAATGTCCATACTCCCAAGACTTTTGTACCTCCACCTCCCCCCCCTCATATTTTAAAACAATACAGGCTGATATGGGGAGATTTGTATGGGCGGGAGGCAAAGCCAGGGTTTCAGCGGCTCTCCTACAAACCCCCAATGCCAAACGTCCAATCCTACTACCATGCTGCAATTTTGGCCACAGCCATCCCTCACATAGTCTCCGACCCTGGTCCACAGTGGGTTACACTGGAACGAGACCTTTTGGGCAATTATGAACTTCTTCACCTGCTTTGGACACCTCCACGTGCCAGGCCAACCCTCCTCCTACTCCCTACACAATTGCTACTGCTGTTCCAGATATGGGATAAATACAGGCCCAGATTGGGCAGCACCCCTAGCCTCTCCCTGGCGACCCCCCTCAGGGCCGTGCCCTTCATTATCCTTACATTTAATTCTGCTCCGTGGCACCTAAGAGGGGTGACGCACCTCTACCACCTCTTCGCAGCTGACAAGCCCCTAGACTTCCCTAGTCTAAGGGAAAAATTTGCGCTCCCACACTCCTCGCTTTATTCATACTTGCAACTCAAATCTTACCTGTCTAAGGAAATCACACGCCACCCTGGCACCCTCAGAGATACCAATAGGATCACTGAATGGGAACAAATGTGTTTATCGGCTAAACTATTACCGCACTTGTAACGGATCGCCTGGCACCCCGATTGGGTACCTCCGTTGAAGGATGCTCCTAGCGCTTCCTGAGGACTCCAAGCACTCTGGCAGACACCACAATCACCGAACCGGAGAAACAAATAAATTCTCCCAAGCATATGAATGCTGTAGATAGTTGAATAGGAAACCATACGAATAGGTTTACCCTCCTAGCAGTCAAACTGGAACAGCATACAATAAATCCTTCCCCCAATAATGAGATGACACTTCACTTTGAGGGTTAAAATAGGAACTCTCTGTAATGGCCACACACTGGCTTTTATGCAAGTCCCCATGCAAGGGGACATCCCACAGGGGAACCGTAAAACACACCCACAATTACATCACAACCCCTCCTCTCTGTCCTGGAGATAAGTGTGAAGTAATCAAATTATCTCCAAGGACAGAGGCAAAACTCCATTAACCACATGGCAGACAAAGGACAATAAAAGACATAAAATTACATACAGTTACATTTATTCCATAAAACATATACATTCTACATATCCCCAGATAGCTTAGATCTGAGTGCACATTACTACCGAATGGCGCTCAGATCACATACATACAGTTCAATCGCCACGGAGCCAAAGTCTTTCATACAGTCTTTCAGTATACAGCTGGGCTCCATGACATAGCTATCTGGGGTAGCATGGCTTTAACAGTCCGCAGAAAGGCACGAATAAACCTTTCTGCCAGTAAAATAAAAGTTTAAAATGCAGGACCATAGTCTAAAGGGAGCAGGCGAGCAACCAGGCCTCTCCAGTGGACAGTGGCGAGGTTGGTTTCGCCACAGCACTGTAAACCGATCTCCATGTGCCTCGGCTCCATGACTAGCTATAACCACTCTTCCACCACTAAATATGCTCGACAATGGGAGAGTGACCTAAATTGCCAAGGCCACTTAAAGCTTGGATTACAATTTTCACAGACCCACTCAAATTATTAAAATCATCAGCCTGTAAAAAATTCTGTACCGGTGGTACCTAGTGCCGACCAGGCTACACAAAATATTCCTCGCCACCTCCTCAAAATGTTGAAGATGCCATACGCAGGAGGGCCCGATGTATCACATTTGGTGGAGTTGTCCGCGGCTCCTTAATTACTGGACTGAGGTCCATGACTTGATCCAAGATGTTACCCAATACCCTCTCGAGTTCACTCCGCTAACATGCCTAGTCCTTGATCTCCCTAGAGTGCTACCCCAACATGTAAAGAAAATGATGTTACACATTGCCTTGATGGCGCAACAATTGATAGCGAGAAGGTGGAAATCCATGCTCCTCCCCAACAAGGAGACCCTGATAGAGGAACTACACAAACAGTGGATTTATGAGACATCGTATAAATCCTTGTTCCCTCCCTCTGTACTCTACCGGAAAACTTGGGAGCTCTGGCAAACATGGAGATCTGGTAAGGTCATGGGCACTGTACCTACCTTATGGACCTATAAAGGTTCCCCCCCCTCTCACGGGGTGGGTATAAGCATCCCATGAACGCGGATTAGTCGCATTGAAACACATCGGTGTATTGATGGGCCGACCTGTAGATCTGTAGATACAGCTAGATACGGCTATATGAGAATTGTGTTCAGCTGCTAAAATGTCGATATGATGCTCGAATGTTTTTATAGTGCTGAACCCCGCCCCTCCCCTAACGCCCCCCCCCCCCAAAATTTTACCCGTAGGAACATCGTAGATATGTATATCATGTCATTGAATGAACTCCCTTTCTCTTCTGTACCCTGTTTGATATGGTTAAGACAAAATAAAAATTGTCAAATTGCAAAAAATACCAGTCTGATTCACTTTATCTTCAGGGATCCTTAAAGTATTTCTTAATAGTGAAATCAACTTCTCCACGGATCTAGAATCCAGCGATCTTGATGAATGATTTATATCCTTCTCTTCTTCAGAGAAAAACTGGATATCAGAGTTATCTTCAGATTCAGAACACCCGGACTCTTGTCTGGAGCGTTTTGCTTGCTGGCCCTTCCCTGAAGAGGATCTAATTCCTTCCGCTATAGCCTGAGAGATCCACTGTTTAAGATCTTCCTGAGGCGAATCCTTTCTACTGCCCTCTCTGGCCACTTCCACCAAAGAAGACCTGCACAGCTTATTTTCCTACATAGCAATTCCATTACAATTTAAGCATCTCTTTGTCTTGTCCTTATGCTTCCTATGAGAGGATTCCAGCGATATTGTCAGGGTACCTGTTGGTGCTGAATCCAGGGAAGACATCCTCTCTGTTTAGGGGCTCCCTGCCCCTAGCATTTCGGCATATTCCGGCCGTTTTCGCGCCGGCCGCGCTAGCTCCTCCCCCTTTTATGACGCGACGGCTAGCGTCGACGTCATGACGTCGGCATTTACATGAAGTGCCGGGAACCGCTATTCCGGACCTTTTGGGGGCGTGGTCTCTATTTAGGTAACAGGGTATTTAAAGGAAACCTTTACTACTGCTCATTGCCCTGTCGTGGTTCTAGCTTGCTAGTCACTCAGCGCGTTCTTTATCTTGTGTTTCCGGTTTTGACCCTTGCTTGTCTTTTGTCCTGTTGTCCTCTCCTCTCCTTTGACTCGGCTTGTATCTCGCTTACCTGTCCTCCGGCTCCCTCGACCTCGGCTTACCTTTTGACTATTCTTGCTTTGTCCCTACGTTAGTCCGGCCATTCTAAGGTCCGGTATACGTACCTCCTTCTGTCCGCACTCTGCATATTGGATCCCTGTCAGTATCCTGACAGATATGATGGGGCTGAAAATATATAAAGGCTATATATATATATATATATACACAAAAATGAAAATAATACCGGCACTCTAGGTCTCCCAAAGATCGTTGGTTTATTGTAAATCAATCCAGAGGGTCAACGTTTCAGCTCCCATTTGGAGCTTTCATCAGGACACATCAAAATCATATTACAAAATGACAAGCTTAAATAGGACTAAAAATCATAAACACTCACCAAAACAGCTGCTCCTTGTTTCCACCGATGCATGGCGTCCACTCCACTCTGCGCATTTGCGCATGTGCACCATTACGGGAATCACCTCCCAGAACATTCTAAGACAAGACCCAACCTTGCCTAAACAACCAATACAACAACCAATATTCTGTTTCAAGAAAAACAAGAACTTAGGGGATATGTTGGTGAAGACGGACCCGATCCATTGCTATAATCCTACAGTGT